GAACCTCATATTTTGAATTAGGAGGTAAAAGAATTCAGATCACGGTTGTGGGATAGTTTTTAATTTTTAAAACTGGTTACTTGTATATTTCCTATATATGTTTCGAAACAATGGCTAGTTGTTTTCTCAGCAATATCATTTCTATTTTCTACTATTTGACTACGCAAAATGCTTTGATAAATACTATTTTGTTTTATGATTTTCTGTATGATTTTCTTTGGATCCTCTCCATCCGCCCTTTCAAATCCTGAATCCATAATAAATCACAGCATCCGTGTAAACCAATATGCCTTATTTCCTTACAACTTATAAGTATTTCACAAACCAAACTCATCGTTTGGAAACAAGGAAACAAAAAGGAAGAAAAAAGGCACTAATTGCAAAAATTGGTCATGTCTGGTCCTGCTATGTTCTTTGCTGTTTGGTAGCATAGCAGACAAATGCACCAACATAGGATTTATACTGTATACGTTTCAACGACAAAGATGGCTACACAAGCTCCTCATTCAACCAAAATACTTATCATTTACATAACAATGTTAGAAGCCACAAAGACTTGCAGTATCATAATACCTCCTTCTCAAGTTTCAACACAGCCATGAAGGCTTCTTGAGGCACGTCAACTTTCCCGATCGCCTTCATTCTTTTCTTTCCCTCAGCTTGTTTCTTAAGCAACTTCTTTTTCCTTGAAATGTCCCCACCATAGCATTTGGCTAAAACATCCTTTCTGATTGCTGATAAAGCTTCACTAGCGATCACTTTCGAACCTATGCATGCTTGAATAGGCACTTTAAACATCTGTCTTGGTATGAGCTCCTTCAGCTTCTGTGTTAAAGCCCTCCCTACAGCATATGCCTTGTCCTTGTGCACAATGGTTGCCAATGGTTCTACATGTTCACCATTAATTTGAATATCAAGTCTTATTAGGTCACTTTCTTTGTACCCAAGAAAAGTATATTCCATGCTAGCATAGCCTTTACTTCTGGACTTGAGCTGGTCAAAAAAATCACCTACCATCTCAGCCAAGGGCAATTCATATGTGAGTGACGCTCTATTCTCAGCAATAAACTTCATTTCTTTAAACACTGCTCTTCTGTCCTGTGCCAGCTCCATAAGGGGACCAATGTAGTCTTTTGGTGTAAGCATATCAATCTTGACAACAGGCTCCTCAATTGACTTCCTTTTTCCAGGTTCAGGAAGTACAGATGGGTTTGAACATTCAACAATGTCGCCATTTACACAGTTCACTTTATATACGACACTCGGGGCAGTAGTTATCAGGCTCAGATTGTACTCTCTCTCCAGCCTTTCCTGAACAATTTCCATGTGGAGAAGCCCCAAGAATCCACATCTAAATCCAAAACCCATAGCGCTCGAAGTCTCGGGCTCGAACTTCAGAGCAGCATCATTAAGCTGCAGTTTCTCAAGTGCATCCCTCAACTCAGGAAACTGATCAGCATCCACAGGAAACATGCCACAGAACACCATTGGAGTGGCTTCCTCATAACCAGGCAATGAACTTTCTGCCTTTCTACTATAGTTTGTGATTGTGTCCCCAACTCTAGCATCAGCCACTGATCTTATAGAAGCTGAAAGATAACCCACCTCACCAGCATAAAGTTCTCCAACCTGAAGCTGAGTGGGAGACAAAACCCCAATCTCATCAGCAAAATAGTCCTTCCCACTAGCCATAAAATAAACCCTATCACCCTTCTTTATCTTCCCATCAATTACCCTAAAATACACAATAACACCCCTATATGGGTCATAGTAACTATCAAAAATCAAAGCTCTCAATGGTTTATCAGCAGTATCAGCTGGTGGAGGAACCCTCTCAACAATTGCATCAAGAATCTCAGATATCCCAATTCCCTCCTTGGCAGAACACAGTATTGCATTGCTACAATCCAACCCAATAACCTCTTCAATCTCCTTGATTACACTATCTGGGTCAGCTCCTGGAAGGTCTATTTTGTTCAAAACAGGGATGATCTCCAAGTTGTTTTCCAAGGCCAAGTAAACATTGGCCAAAGTTTGAGCTTCAACTCCCTGTGAAGCATCAACAACAAGAAGAGCACCTTCACAAGCAGCAAGAGACCTAGACACCTCATAAGAAAAATCGACATGCCCAGGAGTGTCAATGAGATTCAAACAATATGGCTCACCATTTTTGAAACTATAACGCATCCGAGCAATCTGTAGCTTGATGGTGATGCCTCTTTCTCTCTCTAAGTCCATGTTGTCAAGAAACTGCTCCTTCATTTCACGCTTCTGAACAGTCCCAGTCGTCTCCAGCAACTTGTCAGCCAAAGTCGACTTGCCATGGTCAATATGTGCAATTATGCAAAAGTTCCTGATACGGGAAATGGGTACCTTGGAAAGACGGTCATGGCCGAGCTGGGAAATGGGTTGGGTTCCAGTGGCTTGACAGAGCACTTGGAGTCTTTGCCGAGGCCTGGAGGAGGTTCTGGAGAGATGAAGGAGAGGTTTAGAGTGAGAGAGTGAGAAGAAGGGCAAGAAGGAGGTGGTTCTGGGATGTGAACGTTGGGGAGTGGTGGTGGTTGTGGATAGGAGGAGGGTCTGAGATTGAGCAGAGAGGTCTGCGGCCATGGCGAAGAACCAAACTTGGATTGAATCGTATGAATGGCTTGGGCTATAGTTGGTTTTGGATTGGATTTTTGACTTTGGTCTTCGTCTGATATCTATGGCCCATGTAAAACTAAAAATGAGCTACTTTTCTTAATTAAAAGAAAATTAGAAAACAAAAACAAAAAGAAGAAATCTTCAAAAAAAGAAAAAGAAAAAAGAGCTAACATATGTGTGTTCTTGATTATCTCATTTGCCTTTGTTATGTGCAATGAAAAATTTAAGAATTTCATAAATAAATAAATAAAAAATTCACTATTATATGGCGAGACGTAAATGAATTTGATTGTATAAGGCAATGAGGCTAAAAAATAAAAATAAAAATTAATGGTTCGTTTGGGACTGCTTCTCTATCACTTCAAAAGTGCTTTTATTATAAAGAAGTTGAAATTTTAATAAGAAATTCAAGTGCTACAACATATGCTTCTCTACAAAGTGCTTCCACGATCTAGAAGTACTTTTAACATTTTATACCAAACGTAGTTAGAAGTGCTTTTAGCCCTCCCAAAAGCATTCCCAAACATAGCCTAAATCTCTAAGTATACTTCTAGCTTTTAAACTATAGTATTTATTATATTAGTGGGTTTCCTCACACACATTGCAAATGTATCTTGGAGTTCGAACCCGAGACCATTGATTTTCATATTGAAATTATGGTTCTATCCATGCATTTTGCATATTAAATATACAACTACAATTGATCACTTTTGACAAGTAATACATGAAAGGTTAGGGCAAGCAAATGAATCATGAGATGTGAAAACATGTTATGTGATAGGCTTTTCAGTACCTGCGCAAACAGGGTTAAAACTCCTACAAAACTTGCAAGAATGACAAGGTTATTGTAGTATAAATGATTCTCGCAAGGTCGTTCTCCGCAGGGATTATTAAATAACTTGTAGCAACCAAATTCTAATTAATTATTGTAAAAGAGAAAGTTGAGATGTTTGATTTTAAGACCTTAACTTAAAACGAATTTAACTAATAAAAATAAGGCAATATGCAAACTTAAAGCTAAGGGCAAGAGAAACAGTTGTGTTTTTAGAAATCAAATTAGAAAATAAACGCTTGGTAGAAAAGTCTGAAATTTTGATACGATCAAGCCAAGCGACTCACGAACGTCCTCCTACTGGAATTACTCCAAAATTCGTCCATTTGATTATGTTTTGCTCCAAAGGAAGTCGAAAGTCCTATATTGGAAATATAATTCAAAGTTTCAAAATTCTTCCAAAATATGAACCAAAATGTACCAAAAATGGGGTTAAATATATAATATAAAATATGCCCATCATTATGCTTGCAATATCTTGAAGATACAAGAGTAGATGTACAAGGTAACCAACTAGGCATACATTAAAGTCACACATACGTTAAATTGCAAGCTTGCCCATAAATGGTTGATTAAATATCCAACTACACAGTTTACCCTATGTCAGACGCAATATGGTTGACATAACCTTTCTGGTCTGTCACTTTCTTCAACCTCAACTGGCCAAAGCTCAATTATCTGAGCCATGTCGGTGACCCAAAAGATCATATGCAGAACTTGTAGAAATTGAATGGAATGGAAGGAGGCAACCCTGAGATCTATAAGGATTCAAACTGTGTGTCGTTTTCTGATCTTTTTACAAATTTACAACTCAGTGGATCCAGTCAATAACCTTTGCTTTGTTTTTCCTGGTCAAATGTCCAAAGAACTTTCCAAGTATCTATAAAATCCAAAGACAATTCTGCCCTGCACTCTTCATCATGATGCGTTGTTTTTGAAAACTAAAGGCAGCTTAATTATTTAAGGTTACCAGAAAACAAGAAACTGACGACAGCAGACTCAGTACTTAAGGGTTTTGAATGTTGTCAGTGACATGACATAGCATTCAACTCCAACTAATGTTCGAAGACAGGACCAGTCATCCAAACTTAAACGGGAAACGGGTTTAAGCAAACCAACTTTGGCGGCATGCCTTAACAAAACTTAGGACACTATGACACACGAAATTAGGATTGCATTATTATGGTTTTCTTTTATAAACCAAGGTAAATATGTACTTGGTTATTATAGGTTGTTGGTCTAGTTTTATTCTCAATTGTACTAATTTAGTTATATTTACATTTATGTCACATTGGTGGGTGAAATTAGGCTAAAAGTTCTTGTTCATCCTCAACCAATTTTAGAGATTGATAATGTAATTAAATTTAGACCACATTGAAAACGTTGTGAAGTATAAGAATAAATAAATTTGTTTGGAGTTAGACTTCACAAGATCTGCTTGTTTCTGCTAGCTTCTTCCAGTCCTAGCCATGTATAATAACAAAATGCCAGTAGAGCAGAACATATTTAATGTAACAAAATCTACTTGTTCATGGTTCAGAACAGAATGCATAAAATTAAATAACAGTTCCTGCATTGCATGGAACACACAATAGAATACTACATAAGTTTCTACCAAATTGGGTTCAGCTTACATGAAAAGCAAAACACCTGGGACAATAAAAAGAAAGAAAGAAGGGAACTACAACAAATTAATCTGGCTTCACAATTTATTGATTGGAGAGAGAGAGAGAGAGAGAGAGAGAGAGAGAGAGAGAGCTCAGAAGAATTTATGAACTTGCTTATCAAAAACCAGAGGGACAAGAACCTTATATGCCTTCTCTGTGGGATGGTAACTGTCCCAGAATATATATTTTGATGGATCCTTGCAGGTACCTGGAGAGTAACGAGTGCACAAAATGCTGACCTCAATATTTCCTGTTCCACAGCAGCCTTTGTTCACCACTTCAAATCCTGAACCCATAAAATATATATATATATATATCAGATCAACACATAATGTTGAAATATGCAATTATGGCATCTGAGTTTTGAACATAATTTACCACTCTTTTGAACAAAATCATTTATCAGAAAAAAAATAGTAGTGAAGTCTGATTGTAAAGGTGGGTCATGTTGTTTTACTTAAAAGAATTTGATCAGGTTGTGATTTTTTATTTTTTCTCACAAGGGAGATATTCTAAATTATTACGGGAAGGGATTTCAAACTCGGATGCAATGGGGCGGACACACTACCTTGGCCAACTGACTTAACCCGCATTTGCGATCGGGTTGTGAAGTTGGAATGAGCCATTAATTTAGCAGCAAGATGATGATTTACCATTTTGAGAAGGGTTTTGGATGAGAGAAAGCAATGTGTTGTAGATATCAAGGTAGACAAGCCTTGCTTCTGGAAGCCTCTTGTTGAAGGCATCTATTTGGGCAGTGAGCTTGGAGTTGAAGAGGCTTGCTGCTTGGTTGGCATTGTCTGAGCACCCTCTGTCTATGCCTCCATTCAGTGTTCTTTGTGATGGCACACACCCAATTGCTGGCAAGCTTATTATGCCAATCCTTCTAGCTCCCAGGTCATATAGTTCCTGCAGTCCCATTTTATCTCCCCACATTAACATAAATAACAAAGTACTAGTTAATGTCACACTTTTTTTAAATGGATTTTGTGCTCGATTTTAGGTTACTTGGGGAACCAGATTGCTTGTTTTTTTATATGGGACAATAACATATGAGGCAGATTGGAAATTATTCCTCTTCTATGGTGGCTGGTTAGTTCTGAATCCTGCAGGCTTAATTTTATGTGTATCCCAGGATGCAGGCCATTGCAAATTCTGTCTCTGCCCACATAGTGGCACTGCACGACCACCAAAACTATTTCTTTTCTAGTGCTGGCATTTACAGTCGTTCGACTTTTACCTGAAAGAAACTTGAAGCTGATTTAAGCATCAGATCTGTATATGCTGGAATGTCATATTGACGTCTCCTCAGTGGTGTAGAATAATAAGTGTTTGCAATGTCATCGCTTCCTAAGCACACAATGTATATGCTTTTTGATAGTATAGTCGCCGTTCTCGCCTCCCCGACTGCTGCATTTATCTTGCTTAGGTATTTTTTGAACAGGTCCAGTTGATCTGATAATGATAAGACAGACTGATAGAAATAGAATTAAAATAAATCAAGGATATATAAGAATGCTAAATAGAAAAGAGGGGAAGATAGAGATATATACCACTACTTGGGGAGTCAGAGGATCATATCCTGTACCCCCTGAGGCAAAACTTACACCAGTAAGTAGGTCTTGAACCTTCAGACTTGGATCCAGATAAGCTGGCAAAATGTTCTTCACTCCAACTGATTCAGCTGAAAATTTGCAAAGAGTTAACCTTTTTACAGTTGTTGATTGAGCTGACAAAATTCAGGTCAGACCTTTTGTTCTTGTCGGTCACTAAAGACAACAATGATAATAGTTGCAACAGTAGTAGTGTGAATGCAGAAAAATCTTATAACCCTCGAAGAGGGGTTGAGGTTACCTATGAAGTCTGAGGGGACTCTTCCATTGCTAAACCTTCCAGTAGGCTTTCTCCCTATGAAGTCCCTCCCATATGGTGGGAAGTTGCATTTGACTATAGTTTTGATATTGTTGTTGTTGCCAGGATCCACAATTGAATCTCCAAAAACAATCACTGCTGGAATCGTTTCGTTTTCGGGTAGTGTCACAGCAGCAGCATTATGGTACAAGAATAAAACTATGATGATTAAGAAAACTTTGACAGATGAATTAGATGAAGGAAGAAGTTTTTGGAAGAGAAAACTCATTGCATTCAGTGGAGGAAATACACTGCTTTTCCAAGTTATCATAGGTCTTTTTAAGCATCTCCATATAAGTAGAGTCCTCAGCTTATTTATTGTCTTAAAAGGTGTAGTTTTTAGTAGTTGTTAGATAGAGTTGGTTTAATTTAATCTATAGTTTAATTTTTCTCCACTGGCATGTTATGTTAATATGGTCAGTTATATATCAATTTCAGTTATTAGTATTCTCATCTGGATGCATCTTACAGCTGTAAAACTCCTTTTCTTGAATTTAGTTTTTGGTCACAAAAGAAGAAGAAAAAAAATTTACTCCCTCATTTGAAAGGTAACAGTCGTATTTTTTTGACAAGGGGGAAAATGTTCCACTAGATCAAGAGCTGCTACTTGATTCAAAAACTTTTTTGGTATCACAAAACGCGTGTGCTGTAAAAGTTCACATTGCAGAGTCAAGGCATTTCTTGTTCTAGGTGTGTACAAAATGACTAACACAAGCACACCAATTACTGGTTTGCTTTGCAGTCAAAGACTTAAGACTATGAAACCAAATTAAATTCTGAAATCATTCACCTTGGTTCTATATGATGTGGCTGGTTTTCAACTTTTTAAAGTCATCCCCACAACCTGGAATCATTAATTAGTCCTTTGGGGCTCTTAAAAAGTCTTTTCTGAGGCTGTCCTTGTGATCTCTGCAGCAAAAATTAAATATCCCAACTGCATTTTCTCCATCAGCACAGTGTTGCACTGTTTTGCATCCATCCATGATATCTCAGCCCAAGCCAAAACATGCATTATTGTTTAGTATTATAATCAGGCACTTATTTGCATGGGGCTTGTAGCTCAAGTGCTTAAGAGCCTTTACTCATGCATTCAATGTCTTAAATCCAATTCCCCCCTCTTCAATATTGCTTATATTAAAAAGAAAACACTTATTTTATCTAAGGTCAAACGAAACTTGGTCGTTATAACTTATAAAGTATATATGTGATTTATTTACATATTTATAGGATCACATGCTCGATGAAAATGCCTTTGTATAATCTTTCATGATTTACTTTTGATTTTAAATTATTAGAATGAGACGTGATGATTAGAAATAAGAGATTTGAACTTGAGACATGATGATTAGAAATGAGAGATTCGAACTTGAGACGTGACGTCTTATTGAATGATAAGGGTTTTTAATAAACTGACCTGAAGATTGAATTAACGCAGAAAAATCTTAGAACCCACAAAGAGTATTGAGGTTACCTATCAAGTCTGAGGGGACTCTTCCATTGCTAAACCTTCCAGTTGGCTTTCTTCATATGAAGTCCCTCCCATATGGTGGGAAATTGCATTTGACTGTAGTTTTGATATTGTTGTTGTTGCCAGGATCAACAATTGAATTTCCACAAAAATCACTGCTGGACATCGTTTCGTTTTCGGGTAGTGTAGTGTCACAGCAGCAGCATAATGGTAGACGAACAGAACTATGATGATTGAGAAAACTTTGACAGGTGAATTAGATGAAAGAAGAAGTTCTTGGAAGAGAAAACTCATTGCATTCATTTGAGAAAAAACACTGTTTTTCCAAGTGATCGTAGGTCTTTTTAAGCATCTCCATATAACTAAAGCCCTCAGCTTATTTATATTGTCTCAAGAGGTGTAGTTTGTAGTAGTTGTTAGATTAGATAGAGTTTGGTTTAATTTAATGTAGTTTGATTTTTGCCTATCTGGCATGTTATGTTACATTCAAGCATGTTAATATGGTCAGTTATATATCAATTTCATTCACTAATACTCTTATAGATGCCAAACTCCCCTTTTTGAATTGGGTTGTTGGTCACAAAAGAAGAAAAAAAAAATTTGTCCATCATCTGACTGGTTTTGCCTCTGTGTTCTTTGCTGTTGTGTATTTCAATGAAGAGGTCTTATATGAGCATAAGAGTATTATTTTTTTTATAATTAACGGGGAAGAGGATTTGAAATTGGGACATCTTCTAACATTAGGAAGGGAAATAGGTACGACTAGATCAAGAGCTAGTTGATATTAGCTTGTCGATTCAAAACTTTTTGGTATCACAAAACACCTGTTCCGTACAGCTCACATTGTAAAGTCAAGCTTATTGAGGGCCAAAGAAAGAAAAGAGAGTCGAGCCTCCTGTAGCTACATAAATCCTGTCCTCACTAAATCAGGAGAACACACGGTCCTGTTTGTTTTCTGTTTTCCTTCCTTTTCTTGTTCTAGATGTGTACACAAATGAATAAGGGCAACTAACAAAAGCACAACCAATTTACTGGTTTGCAGCCAAAGAAAACCAAATTTAACTCAGAAATCATTTGCCTTCATTCTAATATGTTTTGGGTGGTTTTTAACTTTTTACAGCCATCTTCACAACCCAGAACCATTAATTAGTCCCTTGGGGCTGTTATAAGTCTATTCTGAGGCCGTCCATGTGATCTGCATTTTTGCCAGGATACCATTGAATTTCCAAACTTTTTTGCTAAATATCCTACTGCTTAGTGACTTTCTGACAAGTAATATCCAACTGCATTTTCTCCATCAGCACATGGCATTGCACTGTTCTGTATCCATCCATGATATGTCAGCCCAAAGCCAAAACATTTAAACATGCATTATTGTTTAGTATTATAATAAGACACTTATTCACCCGGGTTTGTAATTTAAGTGGTTAAAAATATTGGCTATTTGAGGTCTCAAATTCGCTTCCCCTCCTTCAATATTGTTTATATAAAGGACAAACACTTTATTCTATCTAAAGGTGGAACAAAACTTGATGGTTATAACTTATAAGGTATATATGATTTTTTGGCATACTTTAAGCATTTCTAGGTGAAACAACTATTTAACTGATAAAGCTGTTTATTATGTAGGAGAACAACCTACAATAGCTCAACCCATTTCAACACTCTTAGGAGACCTTTTTTATTTATTTATGAAAACATGTTATAGAGCATTGGACGGCAATTGAAAATGAGATATTCGAACTTGAAACTTTTTATCGAGCATAATATAAGTTGACTCTATATATGAATAATACTACTCTTACCATATTTGTATAATGATAAGAAATGTTTTCATATACTAATAGTGTGACATGCCATATTACTATGGTATGACTTTGGAGTCGGACCTTTAGTTAGGGTTCCTAAATGAAAACGACCTCAGGTCAGGACTGAATGGCAACAAATTTTTTTATTTTTTATAATCAGAACCAAAAAATAGAACAAAAAAGAAATTAGCCATTAGCCCTCAGGACTATTATTTTTTATAATCAGAACCAAAAAATAGAACAAAAAAGAAATTAGCCATTAGCCCTCAGGACTAGAACTTCTGAGCTCCCTCCTATCAAAATAGTCCCTTCCTGGACATGAACTACTGACAGCTGCAAAATTGAAGCCTCCCTGAGAGCAATTACATGAAAATGCAACTTCTTTTTATCTAAACCTACAGTGTCGCCTCTCTTTCTTCTCTTCCAACTTCCCTCAACTACAACAAAGGCAATCCCTTTGGGCAATTTACCGAAAACAAAAAAATCGACGGAGAAGATCAAGAGAAGAAATAGGCGTATCTCCAGCTCCTTTGCTGCAGCAGCTGCAAGTGCAAGGTAAGTGCTGTTCGTCTGTCTTCTTCTTTCTTCTCCCTTATTCTCAATCAAAGATTATTGTGTTTTTGTATGAAATTTATTCATGTCAGTTGCGTGATATTGTGTCAAGTTAAGCACCAACGGAACCCGCTGAAATGTGTTCCAATTTCAATTTCATCTTTTGTTTTTACTTATTTTGGATTAAAATTGTGGTTTTGTTCTCTCTCTTCCTCTCTAATATTACTGTAGTGTTTAGGTTGCTTGAACGTGGTTTAGTATTGTGAATGGATATTGGGTTTTTGGTGGTGATTAAAAAGGTGGCTGTTTTTGGGGTTTTAGTTGGATTGTATATCTAATAAATATTGGTGATGGTGGTTGCTTGTGGTGACTAACAGTCTTGACTGTCTGAGAGAAACCTGGAAGTTTGTTGGTTGTTAACAGAGGAAGATGGGGGGGTGGTGTTAGTAGATAATAGTCGGAAGCTCTAGCTAAGCTCAGCCTGAAATTTTGAATTTTATCTTGTTAGACAAACTTATCAAATAGGAAAGAGAAGCAGAGTTCGCGTTTGAGCAGTTGTGGTGGGTATTTTTTGAGTAATGGTGTTGGTGGGTTTGTAGCTAAGTCCATTGACAATCATGTTTTCACAGTTTTATGTATTAAAGAAAAGGAAAAAAAACTATCTTGATCTATTACAGAGCAAAAGGGTTTCAGATATTTAGGAAGTAGTGAAATGAGAACAGTTTTCGTTTTCACTTCTCTGGATCCTGAATACTGTTTCCGATTTCACAAAATAAGTGGAACCTATAGGGATTCAGAAAGTTACACTGCTGTGGCATCCATGTCCAGCCTTCTTTGTCTAACTGATTTCCACACTCTCTCTGATCTCTCTCTTTTGGTCTTTCCTTCCACTGCAAACTTTCCTGCAGTTCACAAAAAAACAGAATAAGCTTATAAGTTTCTCTCTGTTTCACATGCTAATAAAATTCCTCTGTTGGTCAATAATGCCTAGTTCTCTTGTTTTCTATTTTAGTTTGTTAAATATCTGGGTTGTGTGAGTATTAAATTATACATTAGACTGCAAACAAATATGTTGGACTGTCTATTGTGTACTATATTGTGTACTTTCTTCTCCATAAATTCTAAGAATTTTACGATGTGATGATTTAATTTCATGGAAGTATATCCAAAGTAAAATTCCAAGTTTAACAACCATGGAAGTATATTTGCAACTTCTTAATTTGACTGGTTTATGATATTCCTTTGTTAATGAGATTGTGTTTGCTGTATTTCGCAGATGTGCTGCTAATTGTTAAGCTGGTTTGGTAGTATATATTACAGTAAGGATCTACATCCCTATGGCAATTGTTGAATTTATAGGGGATCTTCCAGTTCAAGATCCACCAGAAGAGGAGTTCTCCGCTGCTGATTTGACTTGGACCAAATTTGGCACTGCTGAGCACCATGATGATGCAGCCCTCATTCCATATGATCGAGTGGATGAATTTATAGTTGGCGAAGGCTCAAATTTAGAGTGCCCAACAAGGTTTCATATTGAGAGAGGAAGAAAAAGAAAGATGGGCAGTTTAAAGGAATACAAGGATGATGAGTATTTGGAATATAGGATGTGAGTAAAAACCTTCTTAAACTTAACTTATTGCTCTTATATTTCCTTCTGCTGATAAAAAAAAAAACCCTTAATTTTCCATATATATCATTGAAACAGTGTAATGATGTTCTGATAAGGTGACCCTTTGATGATCTCAAACCTTTGAGCTTCCCAGCTTATCTAATCTCTGGTTCAGGATTCACTATTAATGAAGTTCTGAAGAATTTGTGTGTGTGTGTGTGTTCTTTTCTTTAATTTAATTTAGACCTATCTTGATTTGACTAATATAAATCAGGTGTAAGGACAACATTGACATTTTTTTTCTGCTCCAATTACACCATTGTATTTGTGATGGTTATAACTGAAAGCTTAAACCTTGTTTTGGATATAAAAAAAATTGGATCACAAGTATTAATATTGTGGTTTGACTAACAAATAAGCCATATGAGCAATGGGTGTTTGGATAGACCCCCCTTCTTTTTCCTTAACTTAGGCGCTACAGTTATTAAGTTGATCATTCGTTCTCCTTGAAGGTATTGGTGTTCTTTTGGTCCTGAAAATTATGGGGAAGGAGGAAGTATACTGCCAAGCAGAAGATATCGCCTCAACACCCGCAATCGTGCTGCTAGACCTCAATCCATGCGGGGCTGTACATGCAATTTTGTAGTGAAACGTTTGTATGCCCGTCCATCACTTGCACTAATTATATATCAAGAGAGGCGCCATGTGAACAAATCTGGTTTTGTTTGCCATGGCCCACTTGACAGAGATGCGATCGGCCCTGGAGCAAAGACAGTTCCATATATCTGTAATGAGATCCAACAACAAACAATGTCTATGATCTACCTGGGCATTCCAGAAGAAAATATACTAGAGAAACACATTGAGGGGATTCAGCGATATTGTGGTTCAAATGCAAAAGTCAATAGCCTTGCTTCCCAGTACGTCCACAAACTTGGGATGATTATTAAACGGTCTACCCATGAATTGGATCTTGATGATCAAGCTAGCATCCGCATGTGGGTTGAACGCAATAAAAAATCCATATTCATATATCAGGATACTTCAGAAAAAGATTCTTTCATTCTGGGGATTCAAACAGAGTGGCAGCTGCAACAAATGATTCGTTTTGGCCATTGCAGTCTCATTGCAGCTGATTCAACATTCGGCATAAAGAGACTTAAGGTAACAAATCATTGATGCTGTTTGTACAAGCTTGCGAACTGACTAACCCTCTGACATGCGCTATGAGATTGCTTTCCTGATTTCTAGGTTTAGTAGGACCTGTTTCCAGGAAGTACATGGGTGGTAATAAACAAATCAAAACGTTTGTGGGTGGTTATCTTGTCATCACATTTCATTTGGAATGGACTAGTTACTAAGTCATGAAATGGTTCATGAATGTATAAGGGATTTTTTATTTTTTTTATTTTTATAGATTAGACAATGTGCACGGTGATGTAGATGTTTATAAATGTGTGTTTTGAAATGGCAGTATCCTTTGTGCACACTTCTTGTCTTTGACTCAAGACAACATGCACTCCCTGTCGCATGGGTCATCACACGTAGCTTTGCAAAGCCAGATGTGTCTAAATGGATGAAAGCTCTACTTGATCGAGCTCGTAGTGTTGAGCCTGGATGGAAGATCAATGGGTTTTTAATTGATGATGCAGCAGCTGAGACTGATCCCATCAGGCAGGATGTTCTTGCTCTGTAATTCTTTATGCATTAAATTTATCTGGTCATAGAATATAGTGCATTCTAATAACACATTTCTGTTCTTTCAGAGATATCTTTTGTTGTCCCATACTTTTTTCCCTCTGGCGCGTTCGTAGATCATGGCTGAGGAATATTGTAAAGAAATGCAATAACATTGAAGTTCAGCGGGAAATTTTTAAACGTCTGGGTAACATTGTGTATGGCATTTGGGGTGGAAATGGTACCCTGGGTGCCTTAGAAGAACTAACCCAAGATTTTGTGGATCAGACGGCTTTTATGGAATATTTTAAGAGCTCTTGGGTACCTAAGATTGGTTAGATCTCTCTCTCTCTCTCTCTCTCTCTCTCTCTCTCTCTCTCTCATGCATGCACACATCATGTTGAATGGTCTTTTTTTCTTTTTCTTTTGGGTCAAAGATGTTGAATTGTATTATAAGTTTCGCATGAAACTATCATATATTATTTCTTGTTAACAGAAATGTGGCTTTCGACTATGAGAAGTCTTCCGCTTGCAAGCCAGGAGGCATCTGGTGCCATTGAAGCGTATCATGTGAAGATGAAAGTGAAATTATTTGATGATTCACATCTTGGAGCACTCCAAAGAGTTGATTGGTTGGTGCACAAGCTGACAACTGAGCTGCATTCAAGCTACTGGCTTGACCGTTATGCAGATGAATGCGATTCGTTTCAAAATGTTAAGGAAGAATACATTGCTTCTACATCATGGCACAGGGCACTGCAAATTCCTGATTCTGCTGTTAGCTTGGATGACAAAGACTACCTCTATGCCAAGGTCTTAAGCCAGAAGGACAGCAGCACTGTGCATCTTGTGTGGAATCCTGGATCAGAATTCTCTTTCTGCGATTGTGCATGGTCAATGCAAGGAAACCTTTGCAAGCATGTCATCAAAGTCAATATGATCTGTGAAAGTCGTCAGGGTTATCAACCTTCCATGTCTTTTCAGTCATTCAAAGAGTTGCTGATGAGCCTATTGAAAAAACCAATGGAAGATTCAGTTGCACTCGATCAGTCGATGGCCTGGACTATGCAGATGTTCGATCAAATACGAAAGCTTGTAGAAGTGACGAGTTCTAATGACATTGGCACCGTGGTAAACAATCTGCCATTGCAGTGGGTTTCTAAGAAAGGCAGAACAGGTGTTGGAAAGCCATCAACTTCTCTGGCTCTTCCTTCTGGTTCCATTGATACAAACAGAGCTGCAGCAGCAAGGAAAAAGAACCGGAAGCGAAAAAGGTTGTCAAGATTGAGATAATTGTTTTAGGTTGGCAGATTAGATATATGATTCCCTACTTTCATAACTCCCTTTTGTTTCACATTCATTTTGAAAGAAATATAGAGAAAAAATTCATTTCAGTTGTGTCAAGTTTATGATCTCGATGTTCACAGGAAATTGTATATTTGAGTTACCATTGACATGATAATTTACAATACATGAAAATCTTGGGTTCCATTGCAGATTGATACTTCCTTTTTCTTCACCAGATAACCCTTAAAATGTTATGTTTATACTTTCAACTTCAGAATTCTTATCAACATGTCTTTCTTGTCTGTATCTTTGATTAATTTGGTGTTTACTTTTATCAACTAATGAAATACCGATGGTTTGATGCATAATAAATTTTCCATCATTATTTATTATAGTTGGACGAATTGGTTCAATAATCAAAATTCCCCTTTTAATAAGAGTTAAATCTTTCTGAATAATCAGAATATCCAGACTCTTTTGGCTCCTTTGAATAGAGGATATAGTAATTGCATGCAACTGGTCTTCTCAGTAAAGTCTATGAGGTTCGCGACTGTTCTCATGAGGAATGTTCTCGATTGAGAAAATAAGCTTATATTCTAACATTGAGCAATGCTTTACCCAGACCCAGTCAGTATGAAAATTTGAATTCATGACATTATATTTATCCCAGCACGTCCATGAGAGAATGTAATTTTCGCCCCAAGAAAAAAGAATAAGAACAATGCCCAAAAACTTAAAAAATAAAAAAGGAAAGTAAATTTTCACTTTTTGCATGGAAAGAGGTTTCTGGTTTCGAACCCCAGAAACTTACCCTTTTTTTTCAACACTCTCCCATGCTTGCAAGGAAAGGGATGTCCAGACACTGCCATAACGGCTAAGAACAAGAGTTGCCCAAAATCAAAGTTACAATCACCCACTGAAACAAGGACTTCTTTCGTACTTGTATAAATATACCCCCTCCATAAACAAACAAAGAGACACTACTTTGAAGCTCTCTAAGCCTGTTACTTCAGTTTAGTTCTGCAAACCCAACTTTTTCTTTCTTACTTTCCCACCAAAGCCCGTTCTAAAGAAATAAGCGAAATTCAGAGGAAACAGAGACATGGGTGGCAAGGTCTCTAAGCAAAGTAAAAAAGACGATGTGGTTTTGCTTTGTAGGGAGAGAAAGTGGCAGCTGAATTTGGCTGTGAAGAGAAGGGATGCGTTTGCAGATGCACAGGGCGAGTATAACAAGTCGCTGTGTGCAGTGGCAGTTGCTATAAGGTCGTTTGTAGAAAGCCATTCCTCTCCAACCAAAAACACCAATGCTTACCCTTCTTCTGATTCTGGAATTTCTAGAAGCTCTTCTTCAGAGATAGACAGAGAAAAAAAGCTACAAGAAAGTTCAGATGATAGAGAAGAAGTTGAAGAGAATAGTGATCATAATGCTGGGACCGATGGGGAAGAATTGGGGTTGGTTTTGCTGAATGATGAGGCTGTGAGAGAAGGGAGGGAATTGTTGGAAGCATTGAAAGAGGTTGAGGTCCAATTCCTTAGGGCCTATAATTCCAGTTTGGATGTTTCCAGGATGCTAGGCGCCAACATGGATCAAAAGCAATCTGCCTTGGGGGAAACTGAAGGTGGGTTTTTCTCTTTTAAAGCGCTTTTTGTTATTTTGATTTGCTTGGTCATGGTGTATAATTCATGTTTATATGATTTTGGGTGCAGAGAACTCAAGTAAACTCAAAAAAAGCAGCTCCATCTCATCTATATTATCTTCGTTTTCCTCCCGAAGAGGCCTCCTTAACAGAAGTTGTTCAAAAATCACTCATTATAGTGGTGGTCTCTTTGATGACAATGGAGCAATGGGATCCGAGTGCCATTCGTTAACACTAGGGACACTATATGCTTGGGAGCAAAAACTCTATGAGGAGGTGAAGGTAAAATATGAATCCAACAATTATTTGCTTTATTCAGTTTTATGGATTTCTCATAACTTGATCATTAATTTATAGGATTGTTTTAGCGTATGTGTTCCCTCCTCCATACGGACAACCTAGATAATTTGAGAATAACTTGAATCATCTTTAAATTTTTATGTGCAGGCTGGAGTGGAAACCTGGAGATTATATGATCGAAAATGCTCCCAATATTCAAGAAACCAAGGACATGGCCTAAAGACTGAAGACAAAATTAGAGTTGAAGTAAAGGAATTGCGTTCCAGAGTTGTGGTTGCCAAAAGAAATGTGGAATCAATATTTAATGAAATTCGAAAACTGAGAGATGAGGAGCTGCAACCACAACTTATTGAGTTGTTACAAGGGTAAGATCATAGATGTCAGAAATTTATTTGTAATACATGACAAGTCTGAATTTTTTTGAATTATTTTATTATAACTTCTCTTTCCCACTTTCTGCAGGCTGATGAAAAATTGGAAGATCATGTCAGAAACTCATGAAACACAACACAGAATCATGTCCGAAGTGAAGTATGTAAACTGTCCATCCTATGAAAAGTTGTGTAATGACTCACTCCAACTTGTTACTCATGAGTTTGAAGCAGAACTTCAAAAATGGCGTGCTTGCTTTGCTTCATATGTTTCTTCACAAAAAGAATACATTGAAGCACTTGATGGTTGGCTACATAAGCCTGTTGCTCCTGAAAGTGAAGTCGACTCCGATATGTGGTCCTCGCTAAGGTGGTGTAGAGTTGGCATTCTGCCATCCCGTGAAATTTGTGATGATTGGTTAGATTCCATAAATAAGCTGCCACATGAAGCAGTGGCTAGTGCCATGCAAAACTTTGGCAAGGATGTCCAAGCATTGATGGTTCGACAAGGCAATGATCATCAACAAGAGAGGGAGATAGATGAGCTTGCTAAGGAACTTCGTAAGGGATTTGGATCGAAGAGAAGTAAGCGTAAGGAAAAGGAAAGTCATGTGCGCCTGTTGAAAGACATGGAGGACACGATGTGTGAGTTTACGAAAACGCTAAACGAAGAGGTGGAACAACTTAAAACAAGCATGAAGGAGACACAAAATATTACTGTCAACGGATTCCAGACGGGGTTTTCGTCCGTGTTTAAATCCTTAACCGAGTTTTCAAAGAGTGTTGTCGAAATGTATGATGGCCTCCTTATAAGATTCAACGCGAATGGAATGAAGGTAGATGACAAAAGTAGCCTACTACTAAGCAGTCATGTTGAAGCCGATGACCAAAATAGCCAACCTCCAAGAATTCGTGTTGAAGCCGATGACCAAAATAGCCAACCTCCAAGAATTCGTGTTGAAGCCGATGACCAAAATAGCCAACCTCCAAGAATTCGTGTTGAAGCCGATGACCAAAATAGCCAACCTCCAAGAATTCGTGTTGAAGCCGATGACCAAAATAGCCAACCTCCAAGAATTCGTGTTGAAGCCGATGACCAAAATAGCCAACCTCCAAGAATTCGTGTTGAAGCCGAGGAGAGAATAAAAATTAATAAAGGACAAAAAAAAGGGCATAAATGACAGAAAAAATAAGCATAACAGATTTTTAGAATCTTAGGCACTTTTTATTATTATTATTGTTTATTATTTATGTTTATTTTTAACTTTTAAGGATATATATAGAACATAGTTATTTCTTAAAGGGATTGAGAATATATCACATCAACAGGCAAACTCGTTTCTTTGCTTTCTTAGATTTCTAATGTTTTAAGAGCTAATGTGAACGGAGTCTAGATCTAGTCTAGTGAAAAATAGCATTGACTTGCGAATAAGATGTCTTATGTTCGAACCACCATAGTACATGACATCTTAGTTATATACGTGTGTGTGAGAAACCCCCCTCTCTTGTAGTTTAGACTATCGTTTATACTTAAAAAAAATATAAGAAGTAATACAAGAGGAACAAGGGCACCCACAATGTAGAGACCCATCTTCGAAAGGCTGTATATTCCTAAAAGAATATGCTAAATTCAATCCTGAAAATGGAACAATATCTAATCAATTTTATTTGAAAGAAAACAAAAATGGCTTTAAATTTTTTTTAAAATAAAATAAAAATAAAGACCAGAATGAATGGGGCTTGTTCAATCTGGGTCTAATTGTTATTGGGCCTGGGTTAGGACAGCCCTGAGCCCACACAGATGGACATCAAACGTTAATCAAATGTGATAAGCCCAAACATCCATCAACAACAACGTGTAGTTTCTAGCCTCCTCCACATTTAGAGAAAAATACACGTGTCAATATCCTACACCCACACGCACAAACAGTTCGGCGGCTCATGCTGATGTTTTATATATGATGAAGCATCGCCTTTGAACAAGTTTCTGTACTTTCAACTTTGCATGCAGCATGGGTCTTCTCAGTGAAGTCTATGAGTTTTGTGACTGCTCTCGCAGTCATGAGAAGCTAAAGAAATACAAGCAATTACAGGTATGTATGTGCTACTAGATACCCTACCCTATGAGGAATGTTCTCGATTCCGAATCCCTGAATCTCCGAATCTGAATCATTGATCAATTTAATTTTTATGAATGTGCAATCTAGATTCACGGTATCACTATTTAGAAACTCCGAAAAGAAAAGAATTACTCTATATGATATATATATATATATAGGTGTGGAATTATATTTTAATTATTTTTGTTTATTGGGTTATAACATCAGACGGTGGAGATCAAAGTGAGGATGGACTGTGAAGGGTGTGAGAGAATAGTGAAGAAATCAGTGCAGGGCATGAAGGGAGTCACACAGGTTGAGGTGGACCGCAAGCTGAGCAAGCTCACCGTGATTGGCTATGTGGACCCCAACAAGGTCTTGCATCGTGTCAGGCATCGGACGGGAAAGAAGGCTGATTTATGGCCCTATGTACCGTACGATGTTGTTCCGCATCCGTATGCTCCGGAGGCTTATGACAAGAAGGCCCCGCCTGGGTACGTGCGGAACGTCCTGGAGGATCCGGAGGCTTCGGCTATCGCACGTGCCAGCTCCACTGAAGTGAAGTATACGACGGCGTTTAGCGACGACAATCCAAATGCATGTGTGCTCATGTAATTGTTATCTAAATACGTTCTAATTGCACTCATAAATTTTGAAAAGCTTCAGTAGTAAGTAGCAGTAATACTAGCTGTAAAAATTTGTTTATGTTAATAGAGTTGAAGTACCAATTTTAATTTCTTCTACCAAGATTACAAAGAACCAAATCTTTTTATTGTTATTGATTTTCAAGTAATTTTGTATTTTCTTTGATATACGCGATAGAGAAGATCCATCGATCAACTAAGTGTATGATCATTTGATATACTGATCGACGCTATTTGGTCCAACAACTTTTGTTGAATGTCGGGCAAATTATAAAACTAATGCAACTAGGAGGGTACTTTTTCATTAAATTTTTTTAATAAAAAGGTACAGCCGCCTGGCTATACTTTTAATAAAAAATAGTATAGCCGTCCGGCTTTACCATGGGGTTTTTCAAACGGCTATACTTGTTTTCACGCCTAGCTGCTTCCGCTAGGCGGGCCCCTTTTTATATAAATAGTATAGCCGTGCGGCTTTACTACGGTTATTTTTATTCAGAAAATAGTATAGCCGTGCGGCTATACACATGCTTGCATGCTTTTTTTAATTTTATTATTTTTAAAAATAATATAGCCGCGCGGCTATATGCATGCTTTTTTTTATAAAAATAATATAGCCACCCGGCGATACCCGGGTATTGTTTTTTATTTTATTTTTCAAAATAGTATAGCCACCGGGCTATACGCTTTATATACATACTAGTATAGGGTTTGTTCAATCTCGATCCAATTGTTGTTAGGACAGCCCATAATGTTGGACTGGGCTAATTTACATGACACAATTACTATTATGTTAGGCTTGACAAATATTAGTCCAACCCTAACACATATTTCTAGCCTTGCGTTGCTAAGTGCACAGACGACGTCGTTTTGGAGTGTGTGGTGTCCAAAGCGCGTTGGCAGGCAGACGCAATACCTACTATAAATACTGCTCTTCGGGGTTAGACTACGCATTTTGGATCTGGGGCCTCTCTCCTCCCAAAATCTTTTCGGTCTCTATTGATTTCTCCCTCCAAACCCTAACCTTAGAATTTGTTCCCTCCCTTTCTGCTCAAACTGTCTGCGCGGGACATATATAAATCAGATTAACCGTTGAGACAAGGATCAAAACCCTAGCCGCAGTCTATTGCGATTTTTTTCGAGCTAGGGTTAGAGAAAATCTTTGTTCTTTGAGATCAAGAATCAGTTTGTTTAAACCTGTATCGCTTGTGATTCGGTTGCTGGTGTATCGTAATGTCTCGGTGTTTTCCGTATCCTCCTCCTGGGTACGTGAAGAAGGGGATCAACGATGAGGCCTTGATCGAATCGATTAAGGTTTGTTGAGCATCGTTGCTTTGTGGGTCTTTGACTTTGTGCTCGACGTAGTGTGTTCGATTGGGTTCATTTCGATATGTGTATATTCAGCTCTCGTATGATAATATTTTTGTACTTATGAGAACCCAACAAAGAGCAGAAACAAAAAATGAAAAAAAGAGAAAAAAAGAAAAGAAAAGACAGTTCTACCAGAACTGTATGGTGGGTTTTACAATCGATAGCTCTTTTATCCCCTGGGAACGTAACATAAGCTAGTAATCATTATCAAACATAAGTTTTCTTAATGGGTTTATGTTGGATTGGACGAATTTGGATTTGGATGGGTCTCTAAGTAGCCAAACCTTAAACTGTTGGTTTATGGTTTGAGCTCCTACTCCAAAGCATCATTGAATGTATGACTGCTCGTTTGTATATAAATCTCTAGCAATTGCCCCCTTCCCAAATTGTTGTCTTTGCCATTGGACTCTTAGTATATCAAAAACATCATCCCGGTGTTTGATTAAAGTAGGAAGACCAATCTTTGTCCAAGTTGTACTTGTACTGCGGTATTTACATCTTGTGTTCGTGCTTGTGGCACATTATTGTCTGTTGTCTTCCTTGTAGGAATTGAAAATGGTATTCTGAAACTTTGGTAGTAACTTGTTAACATCTCGGTTGATGTGTGTCAATGGTAGTCATCAGTTTGCACGTGAACTGTTCATGGTATTTGGAATCAAACAACCAGGCTTGATACCTCTTTGTATTCCTTGATGCTATGCTCTGGTTTCTAATTGTGTCATTTGGCCTTCAACCATAGCTGAATAGGTTTTTGCTAATGCATGCGTTTGCCTGTGTTTATGATATCTTCTAGGCATTTCACAGTGCCGAGTTGTTAAGCTTGGGATTGTATTATGTGGAAAATAAGTGGAGATGATTTGAGATGTATGAGATGGAAATGCATGACATTCTTGCGTTATTTATGTTATGAGAGGAGATGTTTTGAGATGTATATGTGTATTATGTAAGCATGTCCTGGCTTGTTTGAAACTCATTATAGTTCTCACTATGTTGAAAGTAGTTTGAAAGTTTGAGATAACCAAGAATGAGTTTCCACTACAGTGGATTATGAAGTGATTGAGGTCAATTGTGTCCTTAGAGACTCATAATCAGTTTAGAGGTTGTTAATTATCTTTATTTTTTGGGTGTTAATGTAAGTTAAGTTTATTAGACTGGGTAGTTCATGCATCAAATAATGTTATAAAATTTTGCTTGGTGTACATGTAAAGAAGTACGCTTAGATATGTCAACTAGTGGGTTGGGGATGTGGCGTATGTTGTCAGGCTTGAGTTCTTTTTTTGTTTGTTTTTCTGGGGGACATGTATGGTTTAAGCTGTGTTTGAAGATGCCTTGGTGGTGGAAATGGTAGACACGCAAGACACAAAATTGTCTTGTGCTTAAGAGCGTGGAGGTTCGAGTCCTCTTCAAGGCATAAAATGAACATTCATGTAGTTTTTCGTTGGAGTTGCGTTGATCATATTTTATTTATAGTTTCACCTTTAAACACCCTACTGACTGCTGAATGTTAATACTTATTCCATTTAAGTGGAGGATGTGCTATGGTTAGTGCTATCTCTATGCAGCAAAGTAAGAGTGAAGTATCTATGGTGCGTCTAAAGAAGTTGGTGTAGTTTCTATTCTAAATTCTGCATACTGATTGGTTTAGGTGCTTGTTGGAACAATGACACTGTTATTGATGTCACATACCAAAATTTGATACAGAAATTCTTATCATAGATCATGTGAAGCTGGTTCTGGATTCAATGTTGATTGCATGAGTGCTATTGTTCTCTTACATCTCCTCCTGACCTCAAACTTCCTCATACTTCTTAACTGAAAATTGATCTTAAAAGGATGTCATATACAAGAAATTGCTGTTTGCTTTTGCTTGCTTGTTTTTGTGACTTCTGTTGAAATGTTCCTTAATGAGTTCAAAAGTTGATGGTTACTCTTGTTATTTGAAGCTCCAAAGAGAAGATGGAAAGGCCAAGAAAGAAAAGAAGAGAGAGAAAAAACGAGAGAAGAAAGAAAAGAAGGCTAGAGAAAATGGGGAGCTTGAAAATAAGAAGCACGGTCATAAAAAAAGGCACAAAGATGAAAGGCACCAAGAAGATGAGAAAGGTAGAGACTATGGAAAGAAAAGAAAGCATGAAACAGAAAACCTTGACAAGAGTAGCCTTACTGAAGAGCATGAACATCCAGTTGGTTCCCAGAACTCTTCCGATAGCACTGTTAACAGCAACAAAAGGCAGAAGCAGAACTCGTACCCTGATGGCAGGCATAATTCTGGTGAGTGTGTTTATGTTTCTTCCTTACCTGGAAGAAGGTTGCTTGCCTGTTGGGTTTGTTAGCGTCTCATGGGCACTGATATTCTTTATTCCAAATGTTATTATGATGTGAAGCAAGCATTTTCCGGATCCGGTTGCCTCCCCAAAGGCACAAAGATCCTGAAGTGCTACCCAGAGAGGAACAACCTTGCCAGTTGCCTATTCAGAAGCACAAAGATCCACAAGTGCTACCCAGCCAAGAACAACCTTCCCTGTTGTCTCTTCAAAGGCACAAAGATCCGCAAGTGCTTCCCAGCCAAGAACAGCCTTCCCGTCTGTCTCTCCAAAGGCACAAAGATCCGCAAGTGCTTCCCAGCCAAGAACAGCCTTCCCGTCTGTCTCTCCAAAGGCACAAAGATCCACAAGTGCTTCCAAGCCAAGAACAGCCTTCCCGTCTGTCTCTCCGAAAGCACAAAGATCCGCAAGTGCTTCCAAGCCAAGAACAGCCTTCTCGGTTGTCTCTCCAAAGGCACAAAGATCCGCAAGTGCTACCCAGCCGAGAACAGCCTTCCCGGTTGTCTCTCCAAAGGCACAAAGATCCGCAAGTGCTACCCAGCCAAGAACAGCCTTGCTCTGCCTCGGGAAGGACTGATAATGCCTTTGTACAAGGAATGCATGAAGCTGCTCCTAGACAAGGCAGAGATGAGGGACAACATCCCTGCTCTACTTCTGGAAATTCTGGCAAAGAAGTCCCTGTCAGACTTGGTAAAGAAAAGCTCCGAGCAACTGGCAGTGCTTCACTTTCTATGACATCAAAATACAGAGAGCTAATTGAAAACTGGGATCAACCTCCTCTGTTGCAAAGTCTTCCCATGGATGTTGATGATCAGGGATGGTTGTTTGAGACAAAGCAGAACCGGAGCTGCAGGGCTGATGAACGAATAGTTGTGAGTGACAGCTCGAGCTATGGAGACTCAGCGTCTTGGCCATGTGCTCGCCAGTTGCCTGAGGCCGATATATACACTTTGCCCTTTACAGCACTGTTCTAAACTGCCCTTGGAAAACTGCATTGGATAGTGGAAGAAAGACAAGTGAGGAGCTCCAGTGAACTTTGTTCTTCATACGTGTTCTAGGTGCAGAAAGTGTGAAGAGTTTGTTTCCGGCTTTTGTGCTGTTGTTTGCCTCTTGTGCCTGGTTGGGTTGAAAAAAGAAAAAGGAAAAAAATAGCAATGGGTGGTAGAGATTGAGGAATTAAAGGTTTCTTCTTTTTGTAGGTAGATGGCATCTTGATGTATCACAACTTTGCAATTCTTTGATCAATTATAATATCATATTCCGTTTCTCATATTTTTGGCATTCTCCCATTGTTTTTGGTAGTTGGCTCCCGCGGTTGTCATCAGCTTTGTGTACTTCGTCTAATGACGTTCATTAGCTGTCGGTCCCTAATTAGTAATTGTACCTACTTATAAGCAAATGCTACAAATGGTCTGATTGGCTTAAGGTTTATTACTCATTTAAGCAGAATAATTAATTATAATTCAGTTAATCAAAAATTATAAAGAAATTCTCTGATCGTCTCTTATGAATGATCACTCTCTAAACATATGACTACGAACATATTCCACCATTTTCTGAATATATCATACGTTATTTTCTGAATATATCATACGACTACAAACACTATTAACACACTCTTGTCGTAGGAAGGATTTCCTTTATAATTTTCAACAATCTCGAAAGGATTGAGGAACTTTTAACTTTACCGAGTTTACTGTTGTAATTTTAGAAAAACTAAGAGAAATAAGATTTTTGTTTAGTGAATACTGATCCTTTCCAAAACCAAAGGGCCCAAATAAGGGATTGATACAGAAAGAAGTACACCCATGAAACCCGGTCCGGATCCAATTTCACAGACAGACCCAAGCTCGACCAAATAGAATTGGACGGGCAGTTGAGGCCAAAAACCAGACTGGTCAAAACGCAACTTCAGAGAGAGAGAGAGAGAGAGAGAGACCGAGACTGAGAGAGAGAAGATGATCTCGGACGGAGTGGAAGATGAAGAGAAATGGCTGGCAGCTGGAATCGCCGGCCTTCAACAAAACGCCTTCTATATGCATCGCGCTCTGGTAACTCCAATCAATCAAATCCTTAATTCTTTGCTCTCTGATTCTAGACCTTGTTTGTTCTCCCTGAAAATTGAGTGAAGCCTTTTTTTTCCGTCAGGACTCGAACAATCTCAGAGATGCCCTCAAGTATTCAGCTCAGATGCTTTCGGAACTTCGAACCTCGAAGCTTTCCCCTCACAAATACTACGAACTCTGTAAGTACTTCTTCTCGTTGATCCAGTGAGGTTGAGATATTGTCTTGGCTTCGTTTTGCAGTTTGGGAAATGTTGAATGTGTGCTTAGTTTTTGGCTTGGTGATTTTGTGGTTTGGATGCCCTCAGATATGCGAGCGTTTGACGAATTGAGGAAATTGGAGATGTTCTTCAAGGAGGAGGCTCGGCGCGGTTGCTCCATTATCGATCTCTATGAGCTTGTGCAGCATGCTGGCAACATATTGCCCAGATTGTAAGTCTTAATTCTGTTAAAAACTCTACCTAATTGTTAATCTTCTGTTGCACATGTATCACTTGCTTACTTAGTTTTTGGCTTCGGTAGTTCATTAAGAGTGCCCAGGATATGACCCTGTTTGTGAACTATGCTGCACATACCATCTTATTCACCTAATTAGCATTGTGGTCTTATTTCTTCCTATACTGTAATTCTGTTAGTTTAAAATCAGTTAACATGCTACAATTTAAAAAATTCACTAATACAATACTAAACCTTATCCAATGACCCACACTTAGCCGAAACTACAATTGATGATTTGATCTAGTATCGATGTCTTTGTAATGTAGTTTTATACAAATGTGAGTTGGTTAATTTGTCCTTTCAGTTTGTTCCTTTGAGTGTGTTGAATTCATCTAAGGTGAAGAACAAATCATAGCTATAGCGTTTCCATGGCTAATATGTGAGTTTCATGATCTCTATCAGGTATCTTCTCTGTACAGTAGGATCTGTGTACATCAAATCTAAGGAGGCTCCTGCCAAGGATGTCCTGAAAGATCTCGTGGAAATGTCCAGGGGCATTCAGAATCCTGTACGTGGGCTTTTCTTAAGGAGTTACCTTTCTCAAGTGAGTAGGGATAAATTGCCTGATATTGGTTCTGAATATGAAGGGTAAGGAAACCAGATATCATTCGTTCCTATATCATTTTTCTGTGTTAGATAAACGTGCTTGCATTTAATTCAATTTGATTTGTCGGTATTCTTAACTTATGCAGAGATGCTGACACTGTCAAGGATGCTGTTGAGTTTGTGCTCCAAAATTTCACTGAGATGAACAAACTTTGGGTGCGGATGCAGCATCAGGTTGGTTGATACTTTTATAGAGTGCTGTCATGTTTAGACATGCATGGGTACCACAATGCTTGCATGTCATGAAGGTAAAAATATGTCATGAGGGCATGCTTTCTGGTCATGCAGGTGTTGTAGTGCTTGTGAATCATTCATACTCTTAGCTGATCCTGAGTTGAGGCTTGCTATCGGGCTTTCTGGTCTGCAGGGACCTGCCCGGGGAAAGGAGAAACGGGAGAAAGAAAGGAGCGAGCTACGTGATCTTGTAATCTCAGTAACTGATAGATGGTTGATTTCTCTCCTATAATGTTCTGCACGTATGCAGTGTACGCTTACAGAAGGCTTCTCTGTTGTTCCTTTAGGTTGGTAAAAACCTGCATGTCCTCAGCCAGATAGAAGGTGTCGATCTGGAGTTATACAAGGATACAGTACTTCCGAGAGTCCTGGAGCAGGTCTGGTTGATTTCGATTTATCTTATTGGTCAATTTTTTAAAGCTTATCATGCGTGACTCTCACCTGTTAACCATAAAAGGTGGCTTCATCACTTGAATTTTTTTTTTTTAACAGGTTGTCAATTGTAAAGATGAGCTTGCACAGTTTTATTTAATGGATTGCATAATTCAAGTCTTCCCGGATGAGTACCACTTGCAAACTCTTGATATATTATTGGGTGCTTGCCCCCAACTTCAGGTAGCTAACATCATGTGCACAAATTGTGTGCGATCCATATTGTTTCTGATTCATGACACATTACCAACATAGTCAGTATTTTGTTTATACTGTACTATTTCATATCTTGCATTCATGGGGTTTTGTGCACTGATCTTTTGAAACTGAAGGTTCTTTTGTCATTTGTTGTTGACTTGGATTTTATGCACCTTCTTCATTGTAAGAGGTTTTGACATTTTGTTATGACATGTTGCACTAATTTTTAGCTGCGTGGATAGATGCATATAATTTTTCATAGGAAGAGAAGTGGAGTGTCAACTCTCCAAGAATGGATGAATGGAATGTTACATTGACGTTCTGCTTTCATTTAATAAATCAGTTAATGATGGGGCTAATAGTTTATGGGCTCTTAATTTATAATTTTTTTGCCTGTGTTTGAAATTTGCTTGAGAATGTTGTCAGATTATGTATATTTTGTGGATTTACATTCATCATCGTCTTTTTAACTTATTTCTCCTCTGATTGTCGGACTTTCCTTTTTTATAGCCATCTGTTGATATCAAGACAGTTCTATCCCAATTAATGGAAAGGCTCTCAAATTATGCTGCTTCAAGTACAGAAGTGTTGCCTGAGTTTTTACAAGTAGAAGCTTTTTCCAAACTGAGCAACGCTATTGGAAAGGTAAAGCTTGTGTGTAGCAAGTTGGCAATTAAATACAGGGCTTGTGTGTTATGCTTTAATTATATTTTTTCTTAGCTACTGTCACCAAGTGGTTGCACATGGACTCTGCAAGCTTTTGTGAAATTCTTGTTCTTCTGCAGGATAAGGCGGTCGTTTTACTTTTACATATAAACTGTCTTGATATTTATGTTTACGAGCATCTCTTTGTGTATTTATTTGCAGTCATATTGATACCTAAATAATATGCCAATGCAGGTGATAGAAGCACAAGTTGACATGCCTATCATAGGTGTTGTAACTTTATATTCATCTCTTCTTAAATTCACCCTCCATGTGCACCCTGATCGACTCGATTATGCTGATCAAGTGTTGGTATGTTCCCTTTACGAACTGTTTTAACATATGCATCCTTAGATCTATCTTCTGTGTATATCCTGCTGTTCTGTAAATTGATCAATGGTTATTTATTATGAGCACTTGTTTAGATATTGTTGTATAAAAAGGTCAGCACATATTTAATTTGTTCCATTTTTGTTTTCTTTTCAGGGATCATTTGTTAAGAAACTCTCTGGAAAAGGGAAAATTGAAGACAGCAGGGCGACAAAACAAGTGGTTGCTCTTTTAAGCGCTCCACTTGAGAAATACAATGATATTGTCACTGCTTTGAAGCTTTCAAATTATCCACGTGTCCTAGAATTCCTTGATAGTGGAACAAATAAAGTCATGGCTACTGTTATAATTCAAAGCATTATGAAAAATACGACTCATGTTTTAACTGCTGAGAAGGTATGCCTTTACATTGTTTGTCCTTCTCTCTGAGTTTACTTCTTAATGACATTGAAAGCTATGTTTTACAGGTTGAGGCGTTGTTTGAATTGATAAAAGGACTTATTGAGGATTTGGATGGAACTCCTGATGATGAGGTGATTTCTATATATGTTATTGGTCATACATTTGTTGATGATACAAAAGCTCCTCTTTAGGCTTCCGCATTATTCTCCTCTGATTTTAAGCTGAGTTATCCAATTATTTCTTATGTCAATCCACACGCTTTGGATGTGAACATATCTTTTCTCTCAACTCTAGGTTGATGAAGAGGATTTCAAGGAGGAGCAAAATTCTGTTGCACGACTTATTCAAATGTTCTCTAATGATGATTCTGAAGAGATGTTCAAGGTATTTGATTTGTTGAGCATAATATTCATGTGCCTCTTTCATATGTCTGGATACCTTCTGTTTTTTTTACTCTTATGATACATGATAATCTGTTGAGGTTATCCCAATGAAAGGGATGCGTATTAATTGTCTTCCTGAGTTATATCCTTCTCCTTATGTTTTAATTGTTTTCTCATCTTTCTGTGCTAGTATACGGAAAATGTTACAAGAGCTACCATTTTTGCATTTTGAACTGACGTGACAGTTGAGTTGTCGTGCCTTGATTTCATGCCACCCCACTCCTGCTTGTGGGATATTTGTCTTATATTGATGGAAGACATCACATTATCACTCATGGGCAATTTAGTTGGTATATAGATTATAGAAATTGTAGTAGATGCAGATTACTCCGTGTATTGATTCTTCCTTCAAGGGATCTTA